GTCATTAAAAAAACCAAAATGCTACCTTATTTAAGATTGTCCCAAAAATGGTATTTTGGGAGAATAAAAATTTATAAGCCAAATATATCTATTTATTAATTCACAATTATTATAGAATATTAATCGGATTCGTTATGATCCTTAGTTATGTTTCTTAATTTTGTTCCTACTAAGAGTAATCTTAGATATTTATTTATAAACAGTGAATGTCTGTGAAAGGGTTCAATCTACTTTCTATTACAAAAATAGAGTAGAAAGACGACTCAATGCTCAATTTGGAGGAGGCACGCCTTGTTGCCTTTACGCGGATATCCTTTATTTGCTTCTTTTAATTTGAATAGGACCATGTCAGGTACAATCAAGTTGGAAAGAAAGAAACCGCACGAGAGGGGAAATGTCATGTCCTCCTCACTGATTACCAAACTTTAAAAATGTTTCACTGTAAAATCACACAAAAATATCACTCAACTATATAATCAAACTAAATTACCCCAGATTTGTTTTAACAAAACATCAAAAAAATGATAGTAATGATTATTATGTTACTGACTTACATTTAAATTTAAAAAAAAAACAAAAACTAACTTCAAGTTAGAAAATCTTTTTTTTTCTCATACTCAATTAAACATTAATCCTTGCATTCAGTAATTATACAGTTCAAAACCATGCAACGATTACTTGTATAGTTATATGATTCAACTTCATGCATTAATTCTAGCTATCGTTGTAAGATTCATATTCAAGAATATTGAAGTTCCTTATCGAGTGATAGTATGATGGATGACCGCTTATACGTGGTATGTTAGGGTTGGTAGTACCATGGAGCACATGGTACATAGTTGTCCACCTTGACGAGCCACTCACACTGTAATTTTTTGTAATTTATGTCAATGTAAATAGGGAAAAGTTTAAAAAAGACCAACCAACTTTCTCGTTTTGAATGGTTTAGTATCTGAACTTTTCTTTCTGAATGGAAAAAATCATTAAACTTTCTCATTTTGAATAATTAAGTCATTGAACATTTCTTTAATAAATAAACTATTCTAAAAATTGGTCATCTACCTCCTTCTAACCTAAAAATTTACATTTTTCAATTAGCAATGCTTTAAAGTAAAAAAACATAAATCAGTTTTACTGTTTCCAAACCTACGCCATTCAAACCTTTACACACAATCACATCACTCCCCCTGACCGCTCCTTTTGGCCCCATCATTGTATGTTCTCTCACCATTTGTTGTCGCTATTGGCCCTGCCATCAATCTCCCTCTTTTTGATCTATTTTTTTCTTTCAATTCTTCTCTTTTACAATAATTTAATAGAGCACATACAGACATATCAAAAACGATGAAGAATTGAAAAGCACTAAAAAAGAGATCGATTGTAAGGGCCAACAACGGTGATAGAGAGTAAACAATAATGAAGGGTTTGAACGACATAGGGTTGGGAACAACAAAACTTATTTAAGTTTTTTACTTTAAAACTTTCCTATCCGATTTTATGTAGCTTTTATGGGTTAAAATGTAGGTAACTAATTTTTGAAAGTTCGATGATTTATTTATTCAAAAAAAAAAAAGTTTAAGGCCTGTAAAGCATTCATCTTTGATTTGAATTACCCGGAGAACGCCTTGTATAGACGTCCAATATATCAAAAATATGAACAATCAAACCTATTTCTCGATTGAATAGAAACCCAAATAGGTGAACAGAGTCCCAAATAACAAGAGATATGTAAAAAGCAGGTCTGATTACGTCTGGCACTAATTCTAATAAAAAAAATTAATGATTTTTGATTAAAAAAAATTGAGATTAAACCACTCAAAATGGGATAAAAGTTTTCCAGGTTTTTTTAAGAAATCATAGAACTTTAAAAAATATATTTTATAATATCAAAGTTTTAAAATTAAATATGCATTTTAAAAATCATTACTTTATATTATCAAATACTAATTTGAAAATCTATGATTTATAGTTTATTAAATCTAAGTAATTAAATTTACAATTCATATATTCAATGGAACTCAAATCCAATTTTAAAACATTCCTACAATTTTCTTAAGGTGTTATTACTTTTTATGTCAATTCAAAACATTAAAATTAACTTTCTTAAAAGAAAATTTTCACATTGATTCGTATCAAAATTTTAGTAGAAGTTCCAAATGAACTCATTTTATATACTAATGAGAAACATGAAATCAATATAGGATTGGGTTTCAGTGATTAGTGAGAAGGATAAGAAGAGATATTCATCCTTTGATCAATCTTAATTGAAGAGTTACACTAATGAGAAGCACCGGATCAATTCTCTTCTAAAGCGTAATTCATGGGTTGGTTTGAGATTAAAAGTGATCAAGGGTCCAAATCTTTTTTCACACGATCCTTTTTGTGTGTGTGTGTGTGTGTGTATAGGAGGTTTAAAATACAAACCATGTAATGTTACAAAATATGCAGAACAATTACTCCCTAAATTGTACGTTTGGGTACAATTGTCCCTAAGTTGTTTAAAACATGTAACAATTACATATTTTCATAATTGTGTACTTTTTTTCCATGGAGAGTATATGTGGAATTTTAAGTTTAGAGAAGTGGCCAACATGAAGAAATGTATTAGTTGTTGTGTTCATGCTAAGCTGCTAACTACTTTGAATTGAATAATTTGAACCCAATATATGTGAAACGATGCCTTAAATCCGAAAGGAAAAAGAATTTCAAATTGAGAACTGAAAGTGGTGTGCACCATAGCTAGAGTCGGAGAAGAAGAAAATAGATCAACACATGCCAAAGATAGGAATTACTTCACGTACTTTTCACAATTTCCGGTCATACGATGCTTTTAAAATGAAACACGTCGTTTACCAAACCATTATACGTGCTGACCAATACGAAAAACGACAACTTATCCTTCAAACATGCGATATTTTTATCGATATTAAGCTAAATAACAAGAATCACTTTGCAGAAGATGATATGGTGTGCAAAATGGACCAACACTACTAATACTACTAGTGACAACAATCAAGTGTTAATTAGGCAGTGGGGTCAAAGAGGAACCACTCAAGATGATATAAAGTGTGTGTTTTTTTTTCTGTTTTTTTAATCTTGTGGGGTCGGCTCCACTGGCAATAAAGTTTCGGTCTACGGAGATTCTCTTGGGTTCGATTGTTGCAAGGTTACCGGGGATTTTCCTTATTGTTCTTCAGGACCCTAGAATTAGTCGAGATGCATAAACTGGTCCAAACACCCACGATTAAATAAAAAGAAGGTGTGTTCTGCTTTAAGGGTAGTCATGGAGGTTTGACAAAATAAAGGGCTATCATATTCACAGACCTTTATTTTGGAATGTTTCAGGTAAAACTAATGCGCATATAAAAAGCTTTTGGTTTTTGGCCCACTTTCTTGGATCATCTGATTCCACAAGAATAAATTTTTTTGCTTTTCGTTTGTTCTACCAATCATGTGAAGATATATAATCATTCTCTCTCAAATCATGTGTTTTCAGTTTTCACGTGATTGATCAACAGGGACGGGTTTGACTTTCAATTAGCTTCAGCTTCTTGTGTTTGACCCCTTTACGGGAGTGGTTTCAGCTTTGAACATCTGGAATGGTCGATTCATAATGGTCCATGAACACCATCGGAAATACCAGACAGAGTCAATCTCAAAATATGAATACATAAATCTGATAAGCATTATATTTTATGTACTTAAAAATGTGTCTATTTAAACATCCATATGATCTTTATTTAGGATATGTTTGGTAAACTAGCTGAGGTAATCATGTTTGACAAACACTAGCTACTAAGTATGATAACAATGTAAAATGACCTAAAAAAACATGTTGAAAAATTATTTGAAAAAATTTAAGGGCATAACCGGAAAAAAGTGGAACTTGAAATAACTTTTCAAAATGCAAGTGTATACCTAACCAAACGAGGTTTTTTTCAATAAATTCAAAAAACAAATTAGTTTATGATTGTCAAAACATGGTCTTAAACGATTAAGCACTAGAAGGTCAATCGAGACGACCACCTAGCTATAACTATTAAAACACTGTAGGACAACAGCAGCATTCAGATGCAGATGAAAAATAACAACTCAAAGTGTTAATTATGGGAAAAAATTCAATTTTAGAGCAACAAGCAGGTAAAGTAAGAATCAAATAACAGATTCTTTCAACTCATGCACCAAGTGGTTCCGTATTTCATTTTTGAGGTAACCAGTTATAATTGTTAGTAAGTTTGGTGTCATCTAACATTTGGGTATAATTGAGATTCACATGAGATAGATAAAAACTCCAAAGGATGAACATTACAAGTCTAGTGGTGCAATTCACACTTGAATATATATATATATATATATATATATATATATATATATAATAGAAAAAGAGATTTTCAAACGAGAATGCTAAATATTTAAGAGAACAAGAAAAAGATCGTTAATGTACAAAATCATATATCATTCTCACCCGGATGAACCATATAGCCAAGAGAAACCATGAACCATCACGTACAAAATTATACATGATTCAGCACGACTTTGCCCGCGACTTAAGGCACGGCAAAAGGCATATGCTACCATTTTTTTGACGTTAATGTAAAATCACATGTGATTTTGTATATTACCAACTTTTTTTTTTATTTTCTTAAACAGCGAGCGTTCTTGTTTAAACCTTCCTATATATATGAGGCGATGAACCTCAAATCACCATATAGCAAGGGTCAAGAGTTCTCGACCCCCGGCAAGGATTCAAGGGCCAGTGGAATTGAGGAAACGGTGATTGGGCCTGACCGGTTTTAAACAAGTTATAACTCGTCCCTCCTCGCCCAATTTTAGTTAACCTCAAGACCGATACTTTAAGCCAAGGTCAGGTTACATTTGCCCATCTCTACTTGGGGCTAAAAAGATGGGCTTCTCAGCCCAAAAGTTCTTGACCAAAAAGACCGGTTTAGAAAAAACCTAGAATCAACTTCAACTTATACACTTTCGTCCAAAAAACCCAATACCCATCATGCACACAGCACATAATCTTGTAAATACATTGTTTTACGGTACTTTTTGAAAAGTTTGTAAAACTGAACCTCATCGACAAGTGAAGGCCAATATGTTTGTTCGGATGATATTCACTCAAGCATACACTATTGCACAGAGAGAACCTAGTTTCAAAAAGAAAGAGAATGACAAAAAAAAAGGTATCCTACTAGTCTCATTTCACTACAGAATCAATATTTAAAAAGAAAACAGCAAATTACATAAGATAGCAATGAACTAATGATACATCCCACGAGCGATGATCGCTGCCCCTCTTGACTCCAGCCTCTCGAAAAGCAACATGCTATCTCTCTCTCAAATCCAACCATATTTACTCGGGAAAGTACCAAAGGTCGTTCCCTCACGTAAACGATCCCAACACCGGTGACGAAATTGCAAAAAATTGTATAATTGTTATGAAGTCCCTTCAACTTTGGTACTTTTGTCTGGGTTGTTAAAAGAAGCTGCAGGATTTTGTTGTTGCTGCTGCAAGTGTGGTTCACTTGCAAGACCAAGGGATTGTAGAGTTGACCTGAAAAATTAGAGGTCAACTCAGATCAACATCCAGATAGCACATATACATAAGTATGAATTCAGTATATCCTACCCGTTTGTATGTTTTGTTTGGTTGTCTCATAGAATTTTGTTGCTTACTTCTAGACTCGTTTTGAAAGTTTTAATACTGCCTTGCTTGTTTTCAACTTTTCTTGTTCTTATGTTTTTTCCCACAATTTTTTAGCAAGCGTTATTCTTTTTTTTTTCCGCACACTTTGCACAAAACAATGGCTCTACTCTTTGGGGTAGATGTCAGATCTACATACATCTCACCCCTCCCAAAACTGCACCCTCAGTGGGAATACTAGACTAAGGGCCTGCTTGTTAGCAACTTAATGAGACTCGGCTTATTCAGTCAGCTATAAATAATTGTTTGGTAGTGGCTTATTCAATAAGCTTCTAGGGGGGAGCTTTATGCAGAAAGCCAAGTTTTTTTCTAAACCTGCCCTCCCAATTAAAAAACACGCTCTTTCCATCTATGAAAAAAAAACATCCAAAAAAAACTTTTCCAATCTATACCGGCCGATTAATCTATACAAACAGCTTTATCCATCCAAGACTTAATGGAAAACCAACCAACGGCTCCTTATTTGGTTTGGTTTGGTTTGGTTTGGTTTAGGCAGAATTTGGGGGGGTGGGATGTACATAGATCTGTCTTCTACCCCCAAAATGAGTAGAGTGATTATTTCCATGAAGAGACACAGGTGTGCAAATTACGACCATTGTGGATAATGTTATTCGGCCAAAAAATTATACAGTATCACTTTTCCCATAAAAATTCAAACATAGTGGAGTTAGCATTTTCTTTAAATATAACTCCTAGTTTACTGGTTTTAGTTTCCTGATCACAGTTTTTATTCATATTTCTATTTGAAGGGTTAAATTTTAATAATACCAACCCCTCTCTGAGTGACTGAATCAAGCCTATAGATTCAAGTCAAAGGATCAAAATGATACAAGCCTATAGAAAACGATCCAAAGAGTCGAAAAACAGATTTCACGAGCCCAGACCTGGCCCATAATCGTTTTCATGGTCTGATTTCTGAGCCAACCAAACTCGGGTCTGGTTCAGCTCAATAAACAGTTGAAATATGTACCTAGGCAAAGAGGCTTTAATATTCGGTTGGTTGGCATATGCAGCAAGAGGAACTCGGAGGCTACCATATTTGTTCAGAGCACCCTCAAGTTGTGGTGACGGCAACTGCAAGAACGATTCAACATTAAGAAACTAACAGATTGAAAACCTTGCAAAAAGAAAAAAAAAGAACGAATACCAATACAGAACAGAACATACTTGTAACAGTACATGAAAAGAATGTGGTCGCGTTTCTGAGATGCATTTCAGAAAGCCAACCCACAATTTTGGCATCCGCCATACCTGGACCAACCACAGGAACAGTTAATTGACTACACAGTGTTACTTGGCAACTTATGATTTCAAATATAGTTTAGAAATCCTACTATATTTATCGTAGTTAATTCTTGCATAAGAGGCTAACAAGTTGCAAATTCTATTTTGTTTTTCTTTCCTTTTTTCTTTCGAATTAAAAGAGAGAGAAAAAATAACCAACCCGAAMMAAACAAACCCAGTAGTCCAACCTGGAGGTGGGGTCGGTGAGTCGGACGTACACAGACCTGACCTCTACCCCAAGGAGTAGAGAAGCATTTCCATGAAAACCCCCGGCTGGTACAAAGTGTGCGAAAAGAAAGGATAAAGCTTGCTCAAAAAATTCGTGGAGAAAGGACATACAAACTTGAAAATAAGAAAGGTGGTGCTAAAAATCCGAAGTGAACCAAGGCTTTTGTGAGGGTTGTATATTTGAAAAACGTTTGGTTCTGCAATTTGGACCCTGGTTGCTACAAGGGTCACTCCTTGAAAGCTACTTTACCAACACAAATAAAATTGAGTCACAGCATGAATCCACTCACCTGTTTACTTACGAGTTTGGAAAGTATCTCCATAACAAAATCAACCTGAATATGGAAGCATGAGTGTTATAAACAGATAAGATACCCTTCAACATAGCAAACAAATATACATCTAGATATCATGAGAACAGATGCAGATTTCAGCTCTCCGACGAAAAAGGGGTAGAAAGAAAACACAGACCACTACACAATATCTAGTTTTCTTGTGCAACAGATAGCTCACACACATACTTATATAGACACCATCCGAAAAAACGATGAAACTAAAAATATCTTAAATTTAAAGGCTCAAAGCAAAGGAAAGGTAGAATGGTTCAAAACCCACAGTTTGGTATGGAAAGAGCTATATACCACTGGATAATCAAGTTCATAGACCCATTGATAGAAAGGCAATAAGATAGCTTAAAGTCTACAGGCCCAAAACACCCATGCTTCACGATATGCATTGCAAATGCACACAAAGGAGATGTGATTGAAGGCAACAAACTCAAAAAGATATCGCCCAATTAGATGCAACGATAAATTCATGCAAGTATGCATAAGATCAAGAATCTTAGATACCAGCTTAGGGAAAGCATCGATCGCCTGGATTACTGTCCTCATGAAGAGAAGAGGTAGAGGTGTTTGATCAACCTAAAAATTAAAAAGGTTAGAAACATATACAGATACTATAAACTGATAGGAAAGTGAAATCGGAGAACAACAATACCATTTGGTTCAATGCTTTTGCTAGGACTTGTTGAGTGAAAACAGTGCGCTGCGCAAAACAAGCTGAACAAGCATCCATTATCTGCAAGAATTTACAAAGCGGAAGTGTAAAAATGACTGGTGTTTGACATTGCTATTGAGACAGATAGCAGACATGCCTTTTTCAGTGGAACACCATCCTTCTCAGGGCTAATGTCGTGGATTGCAACCAATACTTCTGCTGGCGTTAGTGCAGGGCCCATATGAGCTGAACCCTGAATCAAGAGCAAGCTTCTAAGTATTGTTCCTCCGGAAATTAAGTATGATATTATATAGGAACCACAAGGATCAGAATTGCATGATATGGTAAAACAGAACCTTCCTTCCATTCATAGAAAATTAAGGTTTCACCATTTCTTACCAATTTTCCTATTTTTTAAGATTTTCTAATTTATGAAAATGTTCACGAATCTAAATAACATCTCCAACAATTGAGTGACATTGTTATCTAAAGCAGTAATACACATTCAAGTCCTGAATATAGAGATACACTGAAATATATTAATAAGAATTCATCTCTCTATCTCAAAAAGATGCAATACTTTCTATGTAGAGTTGTCCCAAAAAATGCAATATTTCCTTTTGCAGAAATATTTCATCTCTCTATCTTAAGGGGTATTTTAGGTATTTAGATATTAGTTAAAGACTTCTATCATATTATGGCCAATGCCAAGTCAAACATTGAATTGTTGTGCAACCAAGGAGCAATTTTTGTATTTGTTCACACTAGTCGATATCTTTATAAAACATATTATCTTGCTTATATTAATGGTGTTATAATAACTCACTGATTGATCTATTACTATTATTATAATGCTCAACATGGGACTAGGATAATTCAACCTGTAGTATGTGAGCCAATGCTGTCTGAAATTTATCCAACGGAAGATGGACAAGTCTGGGGAAAATAGGCAAAACCTGAAACCAAAAACCACATTCTTTTAGATGACAAGAACACAAAATCCAAAGTTCTATAACATAACATATATGAGAAGCAAGCAAGTGATGAATACATCAATCCCAGAAAATGCATGAAGAGCCTAAGCCTTGACATCAGAATTCCAAAGGGAATTTAGCAGTTCTAGGCATTTAAATAACCTTTTAGCCTTAATCACCTAAGTGGAGATTAAGTGAATGCTGAAGTGGTTAGTTCAGATATGCATATATAATATAATATTTGATACTACATTATTGTTCAGTGGGAAAACAATTACTCGGATAAGATTGGGAAAATTGCCTTCAAGTGGAAAGAAGTCAGTTGAACAAAGTGAGGAAAAGTAGAAATGCTCAATTCTTAGGTGGCGAATAAGTAGCCATAACCAGTTGCAGAGTCCTCCATACTTATGACCCTAAGCAGCGCTTTTAGAACATCACTCGACCATGCCTACATCAGTTACCTAATTGCCAAACTTTAAAAATCAATTTCTTTAGTTCTACAAAGCATTTTTGTGTTAAGATTTTATTACCTTGTACATGTTAAGTTCAGTATTTCTTTGTCAATGCAATTAATTGTCAGCGCCAGTCCTTCTACTCTTCCTCAATGGCTCTCTTATTGGTATACAATACAAGTAAAAGCATCATACTCGCATGATTTACCATCTAAGAGTATATTTTTCCATAAATCTTTTTCATTTCTTATTTTACCAACCAATATCCCGATTGGCATTCCCAGTTCTCTGGTCATGACTTCATTGTAAAAGGGTAAGAAACATGTTAAAGGAAGGAGAGGGAAAACCTCATTCTTGGTAAAGGAAGACAAGATTGGAATAAGTATTGTAGCATCCTGAAAGAGAGAAATACCACGTAAAGACGATATTGCAAAAACATGTTGGCAAGTAAAAGCCCAGCAGCAGGAAAGTCATAAATTTATCACCTTAAGTTTAGTTTCATATAAACGCTTGACCGTTGTAATTAGATCGGCCGAAGGAGTCGTCCCTTCACACAGAACATGCAGCACCTTGTAGAAAAACCATTAAATTATATGATTATATCAACACAATAGATCAGCATAAAAGCAGATTGAGTTGCAATGACAAAAAAAGTTCAAAAATTAATTGAAGGAATATACACCTGTGTCAGGAGGTTTTCACTTCCTTGGGGTGGATCAGATATTATGCAGAGTAAATCGGAATATGATGGACCTAAGGCCCGGATAAGAATAGGGACATGGCGATGGATAGCCTGCATTATATCAGGAAGTAAATTGAAATCAGCAGACACCAACTGGACTGAACCTTCTTACAAACATTGGAAAATATTGAGCTCTGTTTTTTGCAATGTTACTCCTATCATGGCAATCACATAAACTTCATGAAAGTAACAAGATAAATCCTTATTAGTCGTTAGTAAACTAAAGCTGAAGGCGTAGTTTGGAGAGACAGACGGCTTTCGCTTGCACCCATACAACAATGATCTGCATGGAGATGACACAAACAAGCAGACGATATTAAAAGTAAAAAAGATCCTAGAGCCACCGCAATCCAAGAGCCTAGACGCCAATTACCAAAACCTATCACCTCAAAGCAGTTAGGGTTCTGTAATCCTAGATCACATAGGCATAGCTAGCATAGACCAAAAACCTTTGCCATACATTTAGAGGAATAACTTATTAAACAAAAGAATCACACATTTTTTTACTTTTACATTCAAAAAATACTCACTGTAGCTTGTACGACTGATAAATGAAAACCTTTTGGTTATTGTACGTATAGTTGGTGCCACTTCCAATATGATAATGATAAAATAAAATGGAAATGACTTCCGCATTATATCAGGTTATGTTCCTGGCAATTTAAGTTGTCATATAAAATTGATACCTTAACCACTTAATAGCATTAAGTCAATTATATGTACCACTTCCAGTTTATTTAGAGACCATCCTAGATCAACAAGATTTCACTCGGACTCCAGGGTTCAATAATTTTAAAAAAGGAGTGAAGAGTCCCTGCTAAGCTTATATTGGATTAATTCACAGGTCCACACAGGATGGCTCTCATGCACCATTTGCCCCTTGGCTTTCCAAAGGTTAGGGAGGGAAGTCTATTGCTTGCATATTACAAAGAAGCCATTTCCAAGAGGACCAAGACCCATGACCCTCTCATGAAGGAGTCTGACTCTCAGTTGTTATTTGCGCCCTGTGTTCGCACGCCATGGCGCGATATGGCGCAAAGACGCGTCTCCAGCATTATGAAATGACCCATACCGTTTTTGTAAGGAGTGGCTCACGCCATGGCGTCTTGAGGCAAGCCATGGCGCACCACAGCGCGCGTTTTTTGTAACACGTGATTTTTTTCCATAAAATATTTTAATAATCTTTCATGTGTTTACACTTTTAACTTCCGATTTTGCATATTTATAGATCTAACCAATCACATCACTCCCAGTTTCACAAGTTCATAAACGTTAAAGACTCACGGTTAAAATGAAGTTGTAAAATTACCTTTTTAAGTTCTATTTTAAATATTATGAAAAACCTATTTTTATAATGATAGTCTATGATTTTTCTTCTTCTAATATGAATCTACATTTTTTTTAATATCATTATCTGATTAGATAATATACAGAAAACATATCTATATATATAATTCTATATATGACATACAAATTTGCCGCCTTATGTCACGCCTTAAAGAACGTTGCGTCCTCGTCGTGGCGTGTAAGGCTTGAGGCTTGACCTCGCCGCCACGCCACGCCTCACGCCTTTTTGAACCTTGTTTGCGCCTATGTGCAACATTTGTAATTTTGTACATGCCACAGATAAAAAGATCTCCCAATTGTGAAGTATAAAATTTAAGCGATTTTTAGCACATAATAACCACCTGCTTAACAGACTTCGGAGCATGATCATATCTGTCAAATACAAGTTGAAGAAGACTAGCCTTCTGCACAAAAGCAAAAACAGAACACACAGCAAGGGGGGTAACATCAGCATTACTAACAAACTGAAACAGAATAAGAGTAACTCTTTGTGCAGAGATAATTTCACAGAGAAGCAAACCTTGGTACATAAAGCAAAAAACAAAGAAAGGTGTTGTTGAGCTTGAGCAGGCGACATTGACGAATCACTTCGGGAATCAGATTGTGCACCCATTGCAGTGCCATTCTCAGATGTCCCTGGCTCTGAAATCTGAGAGCCACTAATTGATGTTTCTTGACTTCCCATCTGAAAATGTTATTGGGGGAAACAAACACAAAAAGAAAGGGTGACTACAGTCGAAATGGAATATTCATCATTGTAAGACGAAAACAATGTAGAAGATATTAGTAAGCTGGAAATACTATATCAAGCCCTCCAAATTCAAAGAGATAATAACAAAGCAATTGATGCTTCCATAATCCCAACAATCTGCTGCCCTTAATCTACTGTATTAAGCATTATTATAGCAAACACATAGATACTCGACAATAATGATGTTATATGTTCATTTTTAGCCTACCTAACCAGTTTCACAAAGAAGGCCTGTAGTCCAAACGAAAATATCTTCATCTAAAGAGAATATACTTTCTCTTCCCCTCTGTATCGTCTTAAACAGAACCAATTTGCTTTAGAACTCAGAAAAGGGTGTTCATCTATTGGAGAATTACACCACAAAATAGGTGTAGTCGTGTAGAGGGTTCAAAAAAAAGGTATCTCTTACAGAAAAGCCTAACATTCACTATAACAAATCTGATAGAAGATCCAGTAGCGAATGCAGTATATACACAACAGTATTTCAACTGAGTAATGCATATGCAGATTTATGTAGCATGTCAAATATATAGACACCACAGAGTTAATCAAACATAGCACACCTGCCCTTCTGTTCTTTGATCATCGGCCCCCGAAACTGAAACCTCAGTATCTGATATTGGTCTATTAACAGCTGAGAGCAATTTGCTTGTAGCAAAATCCTCAATTTTCTCTGAGATGAAATTAATTACGTAAAGTTTGTTTGCCACCTGAAAACAGATACAAACACAAATGTAACCATGGAAGAAGCTAGTATTTTTCCAAATAAGAATTCCAACAAACGGCTTAAGGATTGTGTGGTATCAGTCTAGGTTTGGTTTTTCAATGAATGGAGACAGAATAAAGAGAACAGTGCTTGGAAACTCTGCATTTTTGGAAAACCAGAATCAGTTTATAGAAGTTTGTAAAAGCCAGTTGCAAAAAATATTAAAACGAGTTTCAATTAAAACCCAGAAGTTGACTATTTAACTTCAGTGAGGTTGATGTTTTAGACCCAACTAAAACAACTTCCATCTTTTTTTCCCTATTTTCATCTTTTCATTTGAAAACAAAATAGTTGTCAAATGAGTTTTGACTTTGTTATCAAAGACAAATCACAACACCACTAACATTATGAAGTAATGTAACAAAATATTTCAAGTGCTACCAAAGAAGACCTTAAAACTCCATTTGCATGAAATTTGTAAGTTCTAACTTACCAGTCGGATCGCTTTTGAGCGGATGTCATCTTTGGGATGAACAGCACACTGCATTTCATAATGCATCAATGTGAGAAGCATACAACAAGCTACATAAAGCATCTACTAAATGGAGAAGCAGTTCTAAAAGAAATACTGACTAGCAAGAACCAAACAAGTGTACAACAATCACTTCCATGTGAATGACACAATACCGTAGAACATAATTGATCACATCACAGATGCATGGTCCCAATACACTCCATTTGGTTGAGAAATAGCATTGCTACATGCCACTGTAATCCCCTAGGTTCCAACATAGAAGTTATTGGCAATGAGTGTTATACTACAAAATCATGTACTGTAACACATAAGTTCTGTTTTCTTGATGCAGGATCACTGGTCTCAACATGCATTAATAGGCAATGCTCAACCCAAAATAATGAGCCATTGGCTATAAACATAAAACTGAAAATTTCTGTAAGAGTTGAATTTCATTTTGTAGCAACTACCTAAATGAATTGCATTTAAATAAAATCTTATAATCAGCAAATACGCTATCGTGTGCAGAACTTGATAGAAAATACATTTCAAACAACATATAATTGGTTAAAATTGATGATTACGAGAAGAAACTTATCAAGAATGTAAAATTGTAATTCATATTATACTAAACATTTTCTTAAACCAACAAGAAAGGTCACATATATTGCTCAAAGAATTAAAACTAGAAGGGCAGAATATAATTTTAGGACAGGAGAAGGAGACTATAGCCTTGTATTTTCCTGTCTCGGCCAAAGCGCCAATTCCAGGTTTCCTTCAAAAAGTTTACCTTCAAAGCAATATCCAAGAAAGCCTGACGATAGTGAGGACGTCCTAAAATTAAGCTCCACAAAGAACCAAGACCTTGAGTGACACGATCACCATCACGAATGTCTTTCCCACAGTTATTGTCTGAGCAGCATATATCATCAAGAAGCTTAAATGCAGACTCAGGCAAAGAAGGAGCTTCACTAAAAAGACGGCTAAAGGACTTATCACTTGCTGGTAAAGCATCCAGCAAACACCTCGCCTGCAACAAAAAGGGCTCAATAGTCAATCTCAGATTTCCACAAAATTGGATTTTTATGGCACCTATAGCAAGTTCTTACCACTCCCAGAAGGAACTTCTCATAAACAACAGCCACTGAAGATTCTTCAGCTGAATCTGACATCCTGAGAGCGTGCAGGTGGTATAGCACATGCATTACAAGCTCATGCCCCTGGAAAAGATGCAAATGCATATTACATGCAAAGGTTTAACAAGATATAAAGATATTTAAAGCAAATACCTTCTGATGCTGGTAGTCTGAAACAATATGCTTTTGTATCATTAGAATTACATCATCATCAGCATCAACCTGCAGCACAATAATGGACAAAATATCATTATAATTCTTCTTTTGTTGTCTCAATAAAATATGTTGCATATGATACCAGAACATCAGAAAGTAAGGAGTTAGAGTGATGAGCAGGTATACAGAAGTTACTCCAAAAAGACGTGGAATATTGTATTTTTGTGGGACAATGACCCTCATATATTGAATAAGTGCAACGCATGAGGTCTTAAGGGGAGAAGATATCGTAAAGTTTCATCTTTCTTACTCTCAATGTCATTCCCAAAGGGGTAAAGGCAAATTAAGCATTATGTAAGCAAGATTTCACAGTAGAACTCAAGTTACAATAATTCCAATCATTAGAAACTATGGTAACTTGCAAAACAAGATTATAATGTCAAACAATTTTACTTGAATCCATACTCAATAACTGAAACAGAATTATAAAAATAATTTGTTATATTTATGATTAGTATTAAATGTATCCACACCATAATTTCTCATTCAGAAAAAGGAGAACATGGAAAATACAAGGGGGCAGATATTGTATCATGTCCGCAAAAACCATAAGCTATGACATATTAGCACATCTAAGCAGCACAATATACACCATCGAGCTTTAGTGAGAATTCCAACAACATGCTTAATGCCACAAAGCTATCAAGGCAGAAGAATATGAATACTAAAGCAATAACATCAAAGCATGGCAAGGTAAAAATAAGCATTCCAAAATCAAACAAAAAGGGGTACAGTAGAAACGAATTCAATAATATGTCAAGTGAGTCTTGTACTGCTGTGGTCCTCAACTGGAGCTGAAATAGTGGACCTTAATTTGAATTTTTCCAGCTTGAGTAATAGACTGTATGCTCACATGGATCATCTGATTACTTGGATGCAGAAACACTCTTAACTATCTTTTAGGATGTCCAATACATGCTTAAAGAATATGTAAGTCTAATATTAAGCAAATTCTATCATCTTACTCTATTTGAGATCTTTAAAGACAAGGGGAATAACAAATGGAATTTGAATACAATCTCCTTCGAACCAAATCTGTGAAGTGGTATTTTTATCTACAAACTAATCTATATTCACTACCATTTGATATTATTATATTGGATCGACTACCCCCAACTAGTTTAGGACAAAAAGGTTTATTAGTGTGTATCCCAACACAAATTTGAATGATTGATAGAAGCCTTTTAGTGTTGCCATCTTTCAGCATTGTCACTTTTCAAATTGGCTTGGAAGTTATAAATAAATACAAAACCTGACCCTGGTCATTATATCTTTAGCATCTATTCTGCGCAGTTGCCAAATGCAACAGAAAAATGATATATCCAAGTGTACCACGAAATTATGTCATAAACAAGAATCCTTGTTCTTCAAACTATGATTTTTAAACATATTCCTGTCATCTTTACTAAATAAGTAGCAGAAGCATGAAGCCCCAGAAAAGAAAACAGGGAAGCATCACCAGAAATACCCCTGTTCAACTATAGGCTCCCGTTCACAACCAACCTAATAATTTGACTCCTTCCAGTTTAGAAGTTGCATTGGAAAAAATTTGGACGACTTTCGGCAACTATATGATATATGGGGTCTTACTTGAAGTCATCTTATTGATTTATATAACAAAACTGAATCCATCATCAGGCACTGCTCAAAACTGTTGATGTGCATAAAAGGTAGGTACAAATCTCTACAATTGACTTACTTGGGATGAGTGAGCAACAAGCTCATGTCCTCATTTTATTAGAATGTTTTAGAGCTTGGTCTTATCACTCAATGATTGATGTAATGGCTGTTGCTTCCCACGATAAGAATATCACGCATCAATGACTTGAACACGCCACATCACAACAAGATTATCCACATTACACCCTCAAACATTGATTATCCATAAATAACTTATTATTACCTCAGAGAAAAGATGTTGTGGTCTCCTTTTACAAGGTTGTCATACATTATATATAAACATCTGGTGCTCACAAGTAATACTAAGTAAAACAGAGTTAGAAACAATAGCAGTGCCTTCCCAAAGGGAAAACAAGAACAGCAGTTAAGCTCGACAAATGTTAACCAATCAAGAGAGGAGTCAACCCCCACCTGAGCAACAAGTCGAGAAAGCAATGCCATGCGTGTCTGCATAAGTTCTGTGCCTTTTATTTGCTTATAAGAGTCTATAATCCTTTTGATTGCCAATTTCCTTATATCACTTTGCTGTTCTTCTGTCAATTCCACATAAGATGGAACCACAGGTAAATCAGCAGAGGCCTCCTCCAAGACAGGTGTGTCCACTGTACTTGGTGAAAGCTGATCTGCTTCCACCAATGATAGGGTGTGGTCCTCATCTGTCATTACAGTATCCATCGACTTCTGTGCATCTGACTCCTTGTTAACATAATCAATAGGAGAAACTGCTACATCAGAAACAATATTGAATTCCACCTCAGGACCAACTTGGATGGCTTGTTCATCCGGAACCTGTTCTTTAAGAGATGATTGATTGGCTTGAGAAACTTTTGTTATATTTTCTGGGATATGCAACTCAGTTTCTGCTTTGGGCATAAGAATTTCTGATGTATTCTCAATACTTGGCACCACAATTCGAGGAGGTTGCCTTTTAAACAGGGCAGAGGCATCAAACTCCAACTCTACTGGACCAGATTGTGTCAAACTTGTAACATCTTCCATAGTATGCTCCGACGGGTTCCCAACAGGTAATGCCACACGCCTTGGGTCAAGGCGACGAGGATCCTGTAAAACATTAGGAAAAACTTCAAATCACTGATGGGGAATGGCAAAGCAAACAAATAAACACAAGCACATGCTAAACACACCCTTCGGGAATCACGTTTGGGATCCGCTTGAAGACTAATGGAAGTGGCTGTAGTAGACAATGGTGTACTAATTGCATTTGATGAGATAGACACTGGTGCTATGAGCACAGGATTCTGTGTAGTTGGTGCAACCTGGGAAGAAGTGGTTGGAAGCCCACTTTGCTGGGTTACTGGTAGACTGCCAAGTCTCGTTAACGGGGGAGGACTTTTAGGCAAATGCTTCATATTTGTCACAACAATGTCAGCTAGCAGATCTGGATGTATCTGGGATATCAGGATTTCAAGAGATTCAGCACCTCTTTCTCCTTCAGCGAGTAAAGCACCGATCATGGCAATCATTTGTTCAACAGGGGTGAGGCCATTATCTAGCGGTGGCACCCTGCCAGACGCTCCATTTACCGAGTGATCATGTCCTGAATCACTTTGAATTACAGGACCTGTATTACTGTTAGAGCCATAACGAATCCTTTTTGATGCTAGATCAGTGGAACCTAAATGTTCATGATCCATAGGGATTGAACGTTTCCTTGGCATGTCCCCTGACATAAGCACATGACTTGATGGTTGCTCATCCTAAAGAGGATAGAATAAAATTGTTACATTAATGATCAGAAGATGAAGTATAATTCAAAAAATATATGCATGCTATTTTTAAGCTGATTACCTTGTTTGCTCGAGCATCACGAGAAGCACGCTCACTATTTCTTAGCATTTTATCAACCTGCCGCATCACCTGGTCAGCTGCATCCCCAGCATTCATCGCCCGCAGAACCTTGAGCAACTTCTCTCTCGACTGATTTGAGATTATATAATATTCCCAAGTTAGCATAGTAACAGCACTAGCAAGAAAAAGAATTAGAAATAATAGTGCAGCAATTCAAATTTAAGAGAAACGACTCTTGCAATCTTTGGTTCTTGGGAGGGGGATCCCATTCACCATACATCAAAGAAACAAGATAAAGATTCATTAGATGGACCCTAATTTATAAAAGCAGATAGGAAAAAAGTTCCCCAAACCATAATTTCGAGTGGAATTTACAGGGTCAGTTTGGTTTGGTTTAGATAGAAAAAAGTTGCTTATTTTGCATTTTTCTTCTATTCTAATTTTTGGCTGTGGAGCAGAAACTGAATGATGCAACTCACGATGAGATTGATGAAAAGCTTTATTCCACCTGATCAATTATAAAGGTTAACTCGTAGTTACCATAAAATTGTTGTATACATAGTTTAGTTTATAAAACTGACATGGGAGAAGGGAAACCCATAAAATCAAGATCCACCATATTCCAGATGCTTTAGCTATCAAGAAATAAACTGATAACAAGTTGGTTGTCGATGGCATGCAATAGATGTTAGATAAACAAAAAAAGACAGAACGATAACAAATCCACACATTAAAGTTAGAAGAAACAGGTACTCTCTCCAGACAATAGTGAGTAGGGATTTAATTTTGATACATCAAGGATACATAAATTTGAAATTCCATGGATTTTATCTCATTTTTAACTTTAATTTCACTATTTGTAGTGTCTTCTATAGCTTAACCAAGTTCTCAGCTTTGATCGAAGTTTATTAAAAAATGTGTCGTAGAAGAATGTACTCTGTTTGACTCTCAAAAGCCAAACAAGAAAATTACTACGAAAAGGAGGAAGCAAGTATTACACTATCACTTCATGAAGAAAACTTTCATTAAATCAATTACACTCGACAGAAACAAGATAAAACAGAAGCATAGTAACCAAAATAATTCATGGACTTTTTGAATGCTCGTGTTTGAGATTATGGTAAAAACTAACCATCATTCTTGCAAAAGATGCCCAATATGCAAGAGAGAACAACTTTGGACAAACTGTGGAAATGTAAATCCCAAAAAAAGACCATCTTACTTGACTCTTTCCATCCAAAATTGTCCATTCTTGCAAAGACGAAAAGATAGTGTTTTGCTTACCACATATACGATTGCTTGTTTTCCAAAGAAAGCAAAGTACAATGGGTTGCAGAAGTCAATCACTTAATTATAATTACATATTTCACCTTGACCATGCTGCATAAACAATTACCTCCATGATAACAGGGTGTGTACACCTCAAGAATCCCAAAAAAGCAGTCCGTAGAGAATACTGTATGCTTGCATTGTGGGCTCCTTTCGCTATGAAACTAGCATCAAAATCGAGCAGTGCAGAAAGAACAGAGCTATACTGGACCTGCCTCCTCCGAGCTATGGTAGCAAGACTGAAAGAAAAAATACATATTGTAAATCCAAAAGATGTCAAGGGTCAAGATAAAACTTAGGTAGGCATGAAAATGAACAGCTTGTGTTAACTTGCTCATTTTGTCCTGTAAGAATGCATCGTACATCAAGGCTTGCAGGGGTAAATCTCGATCCAAAATGTAGGAATTTGCAATATAATGTGAACTTTGTCTCACCATCTCTCAATTTTTATGCATGCAATGGTTAAATCTAGTGTATATAATGGCATCTAAAACAAAAATATTCGATTTAAACCATCTTATACTAATTTCTTACTTTGCAAAGACTCTGTATAAGATATGGTATGCAATGTAAATGATACCTATATCTCCTAATATGATGTGCTATGTGCATTAAAGTGAATTATTTTTAAGATATCATCCAACATAATAACATTCTGCTGCACGAATCCAATGTGAACAGGATATGAAGTACTGGCCATGGACAACCGCCAAAAAGACAAAAGTAATAACGAAGCTCCAAGGCTCCAGGCTGATTTTGTCAACTCAAGATCTATGAACAAACAATTCTAAGAAACAAGATCACTAAAGTGCCTCATCATCCTCCCAACATGACGGATTGAGTTGCCTCCAAAGACACATCTTGCTATATCCAGTTGCCAAAACAAAAGCAGTTCCAAACAAATGCAAAACCAACAGGGATAAACAATTAGACAAGTAATTGCCACAAAAAAATGCAAGAGTAAGCTCTCTTTGTGCATTCATTTGGGAAGAGGTAATAGGGAAAGAAGCAGAGAATTTGGTTCTTTTCATTTAGACCAAAGGACACTCAATATTCTAACTTCACCTTATATGGTGTTCACGAGAAATGACAAATATCATTGTAGGTCTCATTAACTTTATTTGAGGAGAAACAGGATGGGACACAAAAAATGGAGACTTAAAGAATGGAGAACACAGGTAAATGGCAAAGACAAATAACAAATTTATCAAGTTAAGTAAGACAGCAAAGGGACTTGGCAACACAAAAAAATCAGAAGTCAAACAGCTAACTGTTGACAGTAATCAATGAACTCAAAAGTTCATCAATCATTTACTAGCAAACAACACTCATCTTTAGCACCCAAAAGAGATGCAAGACACACAAAGACCAAGTAAATATCAATACGTCAGATAAAACAAGCAAACACTAATACTGGCCTCCATGTCTGTTCCTAGCAACTAACATGCTCCTCATGCCCTAAACCCTACAACAATGAACCCTCAGTTCAGAATTCAGCTCCCACTGAATATCCACCATGACATAAATCCTCAAATATTGTCAACGAAATCCAATTAACTTACAGAACGTCATAAAATAACAAATACAAATATTCAACATATGTAGTTCCTTCAAGATTGAAGATAACACATTGACATTGCCAATTCCTAAGTTAGGGGACTTGCTGATGGCCCACCCTGCATGATCCTGATGGTCAAGATTATATAACTGAATTGTGAAATGCCCAACGCTTGTTCTATTGTCAAGTTTATAAGCTTAGGTAGCCGCTTTCCAAACTTCAGTTTGACTGTGCATCTTTATTCTTTTTTCACAGCAATGGAAGGATCATTTTCCCATCTTGAAGGACATAAAAAGAGATGATGATCCTCTCATATTGGCACAACTTTGATTTCAGAAGTGCAATAACAAGTATCAAGAATCACATGTGGGAATCTACAAATATTAATTAATAGATATTGGAAGAAATGCATACAGGTTTTTTCAACATAACCATGCATCAAGTAATTACTAAAACAGATGACGACCACAAACTTATTGTATATTAATATGTGCAAATGCATGTATAATTCAAGGAAAAGAATTTAAAAGAAACATGAAAATAAGTAAAATTTAGCATGAATATTGCTGTCAATGACGTTTAGGACCAACAATAAAGAAAGTCGTGCCTTCAAAACACAAATCAGAAACCATCATGACGCATCACACTAAAATAAGTTAAATGTGTGTGGATACCATCAAGAGTTCAAGACACAATATCAGATGCTTAAAAGATTCTATTGACATCAAACAGATGGCAATGAATTAAAAAGAAATAGCAGCTCACTGTCAATCTGCAGATTAGCCATCACCATTCACCAAATAATAATATCATCCTAAACTTGTAGCATGAAGCAAGGCCGGGATGAAAATCAACCAAGACATGCACCATACAACAAACAGAAAACAAATCATAGTTGATATTGTAAAACTACACTATTTTATGCTCTTCAACCTTCAGTTTGAGGACACCATCTTTTAATTATTACAGGACCTGGACACAAATTAACACGGGTGAAGGAAAACTAATGAAGGCACCACCAATAGCTGCGGTTTCCTCAAATATGCTATAAGGAGCATAAAAGGATGTTATTGAATTCGCACTTCTTGTATGCATCAAAAATTGCAAAAGGAACAGCTGCAGTAAAAATCTACAAATATCGTTCACAATGTCAACTTAAAACATATTCCTAGTTCATGCAACTTAGTTCAATGACGAACGAATTCAACATTTGTGCATCTGTTGAAAAAGTATGATGGCTTATTGTCATTTCAACTTCTTGAACCTGAATGAAGTAACTTTTTCTGTCAATAACATTTAGCAATGTACAGTTAAACATCATCAACAGCAGGCCCAGTCCTCAAGCATGAAATGGAGAAAAAGGCAATCAGCAACCATGAAATTCTTCATTTAATTTTACAGCCCAGGGTGTCTGCATCCATGCACAAAGACCAAGACATGGAAGGCCCAGGAGAAGCATTGTTTCCTGATATAGAATAGAAAAGAAATGACTAGAGCCTCAGTCAGCTTTTCTTCATTTTAGGTAGAGAAAAAACCATATGAACTCAAAAATACTCCCCTTCCAGAATTTCCTTATATCTATATACCCTATATCAGTTTTTGATTCTTCAGTCTGTTCTTCATTTTAGGTAGAGAAAAAGAGCAATATGCACTCAAAAACACACTCCCCTTCCAGAATTTCCTCAGCTTCATATACCCTATCAGTTTTTTATTAAGAAAACAATAACTGCATTAATGCAGACGAGGTACACCGAAAGCAAGAAAACAAGTCAAACGATAGCTAACTTTTTTCTTGAAGTTTATTTCAGAAAAGTTGGATGCAACTTAAAAAAAACATACTGCACCAAAATTATCATTCATGTCTTCTCTGGGCACCCTAGGCTTCTTGGAGGCTCAATAACTTTTTGTTGCAGTGAAAAACCTTTAAATTAAAATCAATAAAAGTGAGAATCTGAGATCTGAAGTGCAAAAATTGTTGGTTGATAGCCTGTACAAAATATTCTAAAAATTAAAGTGTAAAAGAGATCAAAATGTCAGGCAAATGAGATGAAAGGAGTAAATGCCATAACCAACAGAATGATGGACATTTTACTGAAGCTGCCATCACCAAAATATGATATTTGATTAATTACGGTTATTCAATGTGTGCCACAGGTCAATTAAGTTACATTTACAGGCAGCTTTCACACAATACAAGGGTATGTATATACAGCGTGTAACGGGAGAACAGAAGATCTCAAACAGTTTAAAACATATAAACTTAATGCTATCAAATCCCTCAGCAAATAAGCCATCGCCCATTTCCAGCTAGGAGATGGTGTTGACATCAGCTAACTCCTATCTCCCATTATCTGAACCACCAATTCAGCAATTCCATGCATACATCCAATCTGATTAACCTTGCACAATGCTTCCAACCATGCTGCAACAATATTACAAACAAGCACTTCAAGGTGTACTACAACCTGATTCCAGCTCCAATAACATCTCCAGTTTTTGAAACAGAGAAAAGGAAGCCAAAACCAATTTTTTTTTTTTTCATGTGCGATCATAACCATAAATCTAAAAAATTATATTTGTATTAATCACATTGACAAAAACATGGACATTGAAATATAATAGAGTAAATTACACCAATCGTCCTTGTGGTTTGCTCAAACTCCCCAATTGCCAGCAAGCCCTCATAGTTTCAATTTGTTTACACCAATTCGCTCCTGCCTCTAACTGCTGTTAAGTCCATCCATTAAGTTGAGGGGGATTTTGGTCAATTTTTTCCTTCTTATTTAAAAAATTTGTTTACAAGCACTTAAAGCATTTTTAAAAATAAAACCCATCCCCCCTAAATGCTTGTACACAGGCTTTACACACTTGTACACCAGCTCTTTCAATTAAAAAAGGCAAAATGACCAAAACGACCCTCAACTTAATGGATGGACTTAGCGCCCGTTAGAGGCAGGACGAATGGTGTAAGCCAACCACAGGGACAATGGGGAAATTCCTCTATAATAAAAATATATCATAAATGAATTTTTGTCACTTGAGAGCCTCATCACAGCAGTGAGTGTTTACGGAGATGTGGAAGTCATGAGAAGAAATTGTAGAAATGAGCTGTCTTCTAACAAAGCACGGCTGCATATGTCAGATCCTTGGTGAGATCTCACCATACCAATAGAATTTTTATGACATACGTATTTGTTTCTACGATTGAAAGGAACTAACGCCATCTAGTGCACTTGGAAATGAAAAGAAAACCTAGAATCTGGCCAGTATATAAATGAAGCCATAAAAGCAAAGCCATGACCAAGAACTATCCAAAAGAGGCGTCTCAAATGTAATTTTATGATCTTTAATTGTATGAATGCTATGGCTGATAAAGTATATCAGAATGCAGCAATGATGATCCCTTATTTAGAAGCCATAAACTTAAAATACCTCTTTTCCAGTACAGAATTGCATTTGACATCAAGGAACCATGTTGTAGAAGTCAAGAATAAGAACTCAACTGATAAGAATTTATCTTTCACATGTATACAACCATAGCTAGAAATTAAAGACTATTTTAGATGTACAGATAATGTTGGTAATTACTGTTTACAAAGTTAAGATGGATTTGCATGAACTTCAAATCTGTTATCAATGATATTACAAAGGGAGCAAAAACAGCAGTCATGCTCACTTTTAAGGATACATACATAGATGGCAGACAAGACGAAAGGAGACATTCTCACCCAAAGAAATAATAAACAAAAACAAAACATTGATATAACTCGAGGCATTTACTTAACCTAAAGACCGGAGGTAAGCAAATAAACACTATTACAAATAAGTACATAGAAGTCATCTTCAGCCATTACAAAAAGCATTCCACATACCTTCCACAAAAAACTAATAGCCTAACTGTCTCATAACACATAAAATTCAAATATACATCATGATGAGGGAATGGAGCAGTAGACATCAGAAATTCCTAGGAGCCTTTGAGAGAAAGAAATAGATATGGATGAATAATAACAGACCATAACATCCTTCAGACCATGATGCATTTTATTTCAAGCCATAGGTGTCTAACCTCTCTTACAGCAAAAGACAGAATAATGTGCCGGTCCCCTAATTATTCCAGGATAATCAAGTAAACTTAGCATGCACAACTTCACTCAACATACCGGAAATTTTCCACCAGGTCTCAACTCTCTTAAGTGACTAGGACAGGTCCTCAGTTGGCTTTGGTTGAGTTGCTCTAATGGACATCAACAACGCTCTCTATGTTTAGCATTTCAAAAATTACAACACGAGCAACAAAAAGATGTTCCCAACCACAGACCATAAGCATCTGACGAAGACACTCTCTTGACTTTTTTTCCATCACTGTCTCATTTTGATGTGAGACGCCAGGAATAAAAGAATCAGGGACATCAGGTATACATTATTACAATGACAGAAACCAACATATACTCACAAAAGACAAAAAATGTCCATAATTTACTATGAATGACTAATAAACACCAATGAAAGAAGTTAAAGAGATGGAAGTTGTTGAAATAACATCAAGCAACAGAAGTAATACCACTAAACTTGAAGACTCGACGTCTAACAAGCTGATACACTCAAGTGTCAATTATGTTACACCATTAACCAAGAAACATTAGAAATCATTCAGCATTCAGACTGGCAGAGTTCGCAAGACCAGATACAATGAGATTTACCAGGTGACACACAAATTGAGACCTCATGTTTTATAAAACATATCTGGCTCTTAGCTTAAAGACTACCTGACTTCCATTTTCTAGTAACTGTTTCCCACCAAAATATTTTGTCTATTAATGAATTAGCTTTTTCTTTTACTTCTACAATTAAAAAATCCTTCCATAACCATTAAAATTTGAGAACACACCATGATGACAGTGAAGAAAATCTTAAAGTGAATGCAGGTAAGGTAAGCAGATGGATAGTATCTCACCTACTAACAACAGAAATCGTAATGGAGCCCGGAAGAACACTAGCCGACCTCAACAAATCAAGTAAAATTAAGAAGGATCTATTTGCTTCTGACTGAAGTGCAACCGAATCCAGAACAGGATGACCACCAGCCAGCCATGAAACATTGAACACTTGTGCACTTCTAGTTGCTGCTATAGTGAAAGCAATGTCCAAAGTTTAAATGTGAATGATTAAAAACCAACTTGATAGTTGAACCAAACATATTTAACAACTATGATATAGAAAAACCGAACCCATGAACATTGATGAAAAATAGGCAATACCTTCTGTATTATGCCCTCTAGAATCATTGTCAGGCATGAAGAGTAATACACAAGTTTCCAAAAACTTTATAGCAAGCAGCCTTGGACCAACAGACCTAGCCTACAACAAGTGCACGTCAATTAAATTAACTTATGACAAAAGTGTCACTAGAAATATCAAAAAGTAAGAACGCAACAATTTCCTTGATAAAAACAAGAAAAAGACGAGAGGTAAGAGTAAAAATATACAAAATACAGTTGCCTGTTAATACAGTATATACCCAATAAGATAAAATAATGTCCTAGAAGGCGCTGGAACAGTTATGCCTCTAATTCCAACATAAAGTTCACCAAGGCCAGAGAACAGATATAGCATATAAGCAAGTACCCATTCTTTACCAATACAGATATGTTGAATTTTTCAGCAGTTAAAACTTAAAAGTCATAACATTTAGCAGAAACCTGCACTTCAACAACGACTGTGGTTATTACCATCATATCAACAGTTTCACATTAAACAATAGCATAACTGAGGATCAACCCTCCCATTCAAGAACTTGAGAAGGCATTCTAATCCTCCTCTTGACCATACAATGAAATAAAAACATTCAAAAGGAGATAGGATCTTGGGAGGAGTAAGATGTACGCAGACCTTCCTCTATCCCAAGTGGTAGAGACGTTCTCATGAAAATCCACGGCTTGTGAAATGGTTTTGTAGAGACAAGATAGTAAAAAAGATTTTTGAAGGTTGCAAGAATTTTAAAAAAGACAGAGGATGGCCGAGGATACAAGGCAAAAGAGAAAAATACTAGAGAAAAGACTGAAACAGGCAATAAGAACACTTAATAGTAATAGCATAAAACCATATACAATCAAAAAATAGGAAAACGCTAAACCTCGCAAAATGAGGTACAAGGGCAAGATCCCCTTGCTCCAACCATGCCAGGACCTTGTAAATTTCTACTACCCTTTTTTTACACCTCCCCGCAACTACTAGTCCCTATAAAGATCTGCCAGTTAGTCCTTCCCCTCCCCAAAACAACGTCCCTGTAAAAATCTGCTACCCTAGTCCTGCCCCTCCTCACGACTACAGGACCCAATATAAATCTGCTACCCTAGTCTAAACAGTTAACGCGGTCCATTGCAGAAATAGCCAACGGGACCTTCATTTGAAATAACGATTATGCGGGTGACGTAGCGGTAAAAGAAGTTATGTTCATAAAATAAATACGAATATATACAAAACTTAAAATATTGTATGTCTAATACAATCAAACAATTCAAACTACACAAGCAACATAGTAATAGAAGCTGTGCTGTCAAGATGAGAAGAAAACTCCAGCAAAAAACCCGTGGAGCCACGTAATTGAGAAGAGAACTCGAGCTGTTAAAGCTTTTTGGACTTTGAATCAATGAGCAAAGCTTTGGACTTGGAATCGATACCAAAGTTTGACCTAATTGTTTCTATTGTTGATTTAATCGTTTTCCTTTTTGTTTGCAGGCCTAAGTTTGACTCTAAATAGCCCACATAAATGACACAACAAAAGCCCAAATAGAACTTAAATTAAAAAAAGGAGTTCAAAAGAGCACAAAAAGAAATTTTGGTAATAGGACTGCTACTTGGTATCATAACTGCGGTCAATAGCAGTAATAGCAGCCACTATTTGCGTACTGCTATAATACACCGCTATTTTGGCCAGGACTGTTATCTGCTATTTTGCCACTATAGCGGAGCTATAGCACGCTATTTAACTGCAAAGACTCTAGTGCTACCCCTCTCCACTACCACCAGTTCCTGTAGGAAACTGCCACCCTAGTCGTGTGCATGGTAACATTTAACAACATTAGGTGGTAACTAAATCAACACCCTGAGACACCGTCTATGTACACATCCATCTATCATGACAGATCTGCAATGATGGGTAGAAAATTAAGGTGTATCACTCAAAACTCTGTTCTTCGTTTCGTAACTTCCTTTTAGCATTTAGAAGATATCCGAAGTAACTAGCTCAATAGCCTCAATAAGGTAGGACACGCATAATGTAACTGCCAAAAATTAGGATCTGAAACAACTGGCCTTCGTCTATTACCCTCTTGTCAGAAAGGTGAGTTGTCCCAAGTCTACTTTACCCAAGTATATTATTAAAGCCTCTTCACAAAAAGTATGCAGTCACAAATCTCTGTCCTCTTTTTATGGAATGACAATTAGCTTAAAGTGTAGAATAGCTTAAAACAACATTTTCCATTGGGCACACGTAAATTTTCACCCTCTTTGTGGTTTTCTTCTTTTGCCAATTCAACTTTTTTATGTAGAAAAGAAAAGTATGCTTCTACAATTGCATCTGACAATAATATTTGACAGTAAACAAGTTTTCTAGCAGTTCTGCAGATAGAACTCATAAAAAACATTTTTATGCACTGAAAAAGAGGTCTCTTTGTAACAGAGTTGAGTACAGATCTAACAAAACAGCAGCACCCTCCAACCCCCAAATTATCTTTTTCTTTAGAAAACCCAGTCAAAACATCCTCCGACATAAGGACACTCTCTTCTTCTTCCCTTGGCTTGTTTATACAAGCCTAACAAAGCATAACCCATGCAAATATTTCCAATTATACAATCTCGTAAAAATAATTAATGACTTTAATGCATAAACTTTTACACATGGCAAACAATACCAAGTTCTATATTAGTGAAGACACACTGCATCAATCACAATAAGAGCATATTACACTTCAGAAAGCCAAAATGCAAATATTGAAGCTTGTGATAATACCTCCAATGCAATCTGAAAGACAGTGTCCTTCAACTTGATCATCCAAGACCAGATATCTTCAAGCCATCTCTCCACTAGACCATGCCGGTGAAACTATAATTTTCAAGATAAAGTTTCATGAAGATAAAACAACTAGACACATTGTGAGAAAAGCAAAGCAAAGAAGAATATTGAAGTTTACATAAAAAAAAAAGTAAAACTTGTTTTTGCTTTAGTTGTGTCTAAATATGAATGAGTAGATTAATAAGTGCCAGAAAATATATGACATTGCCATATAATAAACTTTAGATTATTGGTGTAATTGATGGCAGTGTAACGATCAATCCTTGTCTCTAGCACTATAAATAACCAAACCTTTAGTACTAAGCAAGTACCAATCTGCAAGAAACTTGAAGAAGTATAAAACACGAAAGCAATGCCCTAGATCTCAAGTTCTCTCAAAATAGAATATAAATTCTCTTAATTCCATCAACAATATCTTCAAGAGATAAATGCATGGAAGAAGTTTGAGAGGCGCAAATTACACAAGCACTTGACTAACTATAGATTGTAGGGTTCACACACACACACACACACAAAAACAAACCTTCAAGGTATATGAATACCTATAAAGTACAGCACAATTAAAGTAGTATAGCAAACATCCAAATTTAATACTCAAGTATCTAGACTGCTCTGCATGTATCAAATGGGATGCCAATTGAAGTAAGGAAAAAGAGACCTGCAACGCTAACTCCTCTAACACTTTGCAAAAAATATGTGTGCCAGCAACAATGGATTGTCGAGCAACAACAGAATCATCATCACTTAGTAGCGTCAACAACACTTGCATCAGTACTGGTGAATACTCCATTGTTTTTAAACTGATCTCCTCAATCGCCCTACAACGACATAAAATCATATTAGCATGAACAAAAGAAATATGTGAACACATAAACCTCAAACAATGCTAAAAATATCCCACTTGTATACAGTCATTCTAGCATTGAAATAGTCACGATATCTGTTGCTCTTAAGTATAAAAAAAACATATGCCACCCATCTGACAACAAAAATGTTAATACAGTGGTGCATTTGTGTACAGGAGAAGTTGTTTGTTGAAGTGCCTGGCCATAACAGAGAGAGGAGTAGTGCAATATATTATGGCATAAGAAGAAAAGGAAAAACATGCTCTATGGCAGGATGCAATGATATTAGAAACAGAAGTACTCTTGTTTGACTTCGAAACAAGTGGCTACATAGAAAGGGAAGATCCTTAATTGGCATCAGCTTTGAGACACTGTTATAAGAAAGGTAAGTCACAGTGTCAATAGAAGTCGTTTTACTCTAAAACTGAAAACTGCTGCTGCCAATCCTGACAGTGTTCCAAGTCTGCCATTTCTTATCCTTTACCCTGTCATACAAAGGTAAATGGGAATGATCCCTGATCTTAACCCATAGAGCCCTCGTCTTCATAATTTCATGTTACGATAATGAACTCAATAGTTTCAGCCACATGTGCTTAAACTCCAATCTTCCATTCGTTTGAAATTTCTTTCAATTATTAGAATAGCTCCAAATCCAAAGTTACAGGCCATAACTCATAGAAAGGGTGACGAAATGCCTGGTGTCTATAGACATAGATGGATCACTGGCAAAAAAGTTTATGAAAAATTAAATCAACAAGGCTGCCAGTTCGGACCTTCTGCTGGTAGCTAATATCACAGTCAGACACATAAAATCCCAATCCAGTGATACTTTAGTGAAACAGAAAAGTATTATGGTCAAGAATATACATCCCCATCAAAAATTGATATCTTCTAATAACTTTACCAAGTTCTAATGGATATGATATCATCTGCAATTTGACTAAAGGAGACAGATTCGACTTCTTGTTTACCCCTTCTGGTTTGGGTATGGGCGACATGTTTGTAGGGTTAAAAACTTGGGAGGATACAGACTTCATCTTGATATTGTTCTTTTGTTATTTGTTCTTTAATCGATTGGTTTGGCTACATCTGTTCTTTTGCTATTTGAGTTCTGGTTAAAGATCTCGTATCTAGGTTTTGGTTCAATTTTTTGTTTCTAAAATTTAATTTACAAATGTTTAATATAAAACAAAGGGTAAAATAGTCATTTTCACCATTCAGATTGTTTATTCAGCATAACAACGGAACAACAACTTATCAAATTCATATAGACAAATTTATCAATACAAACATCTTTATCCATACAGGACTTTAAGGAAAATGAACCGAACATCCCCTAAGATACCTTCAAGATGGTACTTCATGGCGGGTGGCTGACTCACATCAGACACTTGGATACACATGTAGTATGCATATATTACCAATTTACCATAAATGAAAACTGGATCACAATAGCTACTCCATGAAGGGGTTAGCATGAGTTCACTGGGACTGTGATATAGCCGTAAGAAGAAAAGGCATGGATCAGAAAAACATGTCACTTTCCTTGCCTGAAATCACTGGAATCTTATCATCTATACACACAAGTATAAGCAACTGCAAACAATTTTTTTGAACTATCTGTGATGTCGGAACTATTCTTACAAGAGTTAAAGGCCTTGAAATCTATACTAATAACACACAAAATTCATATTCCTTTCCAATAACATCGGTAGAACATGTCCCAATTCTTGTTCATCTTTATCCCTCACCTTAAAGTATCCAATCTTTCCAAGCAATATAACAAAAAGTATCCTCACATCAATAGTAAGACTTTGATATTGTATGTGAAAACTAGTACCGTTCCACTTAAAAATGTCATGGCTCTTGACACAGATTAAGCATCAAAATTTCCATAAGAATTGCTCTGGCTCTTTTTGGGCCTTAAAGATCTAAACTTTCCTAATCGTGATGCTTGCTATAAAGTTGAGTGCATCTATAGAATTAATAAAAGTGACCATATCAAATTCGACAATGAAAAGTTCACCTTCAATGTCAAAGTAACCTTTTGGGGGTCGGAGGGAGCACTAGAACTACTGCTATTAATTCAATGCCTTGTAGTTCTGGAAAACTAAATCGCCACAGTCTAGTTATAAGGTTCCAATACGAATGTCAATGATCATTAATATTGTTGGGACCATCAGCTATCTGATGTTCCAGTTTAAGTATAAAAAATTTGCAAGTCATCAAAAATTGTGTTACCTTTCACATGAATCCCCAACAAAGAAAATACATTCCAGTTGAAATAATTTAGTACTACCAAAATCACGCTCGGCAAGGCAAAGCATTGTCAAGAAATGGCAGCTAGAAATCAATTTCACATGAAACATATAAGATATTTGAACATATGAAAACTCACTCGACAAGGGTTTTTCGAACAAGGGCTTCATGAGAAGACTGAAGCTCGACCAAATACGGGAATAGTTCGGCGGCAAGCAACGCAAGATCCGCTGACAGAAAAATATCTTTGGCTTGCTTCAAAGACGAAAGCTTCACCGCCAAATCTCCGTGGTTGTTTGCAGCGGCAAGGAGAGAGAGTGCCTGCTCTCGCTGGGAAACAGCCATGTTACCCTGTACGCAAATCGTCCTACAATATACAAGTAATCTATGGATAAAAATTGGGAAGTTTTCTCTCTGGTTTTCTAGGGTTTTAAAGCAGAAACAGAAGATGATGGAAACAGAAGCCTGTGTTCGTGTCGTCGCTCCAACATTTTAAAAGAGGATATCGGCGATTTCGAACTTTGTTACCCTATTTAGTGGTGGTACCTTATGCATAACAACTTGTACTTTATCCCTTTCTTCAGAATTCTTTAAATCTACACTTACAATTCCTAAAAATATTAAACTGTAATTTTAATATTTATTAAAATATTTTATATTATCTTAATATATATTTAAATTTTTTATATAAAATAATAATAATTTAATATTCTTTTTAAGAACAAATAAAAAATCAATTACTCTCTTGATACATTAAAGTTTTAAAGGATTTTTTAAACTAGTAAATTTTTCTATTTTTTATAACAATATAGAAAATCTATAGGATTAAAATATTGAATAAAAACCTCAATTTCTCTATTTGACAGAGAAATTGAGGTGTGAGATAGTTTTTATGTTGGTTATTAGTTTTTTTAAGAAGCATTATGTGGTATTAGCTGTGTTTAACATTTTATCTTGTATGTATAGGTTGAAGAGAAAAGTTCAATTATAAACCTTTTTCTCCGTTGTAAACTGAGGGACAACGAAGAGCATCTCGTGAATGTGTCCCCAATTTTCCAACATTCATCATGAATAGTGAATGTGAACTATTTATGATATATGATACATCATTCTTGATGAATTGATTTACATCATTCATAATAAATAACCAGTGAAAGTCTAAGGACATGTGGCCGATGGAGTTTCAAGTGGGAAATCAGGCTATGTTGAAGGTATAAGGGTATTATCCGTTTTGAAAAGCATGGGAAGCCTAGTACCCGCTTCATTGGACCCTATTGTGAGTCGGGTTGGTCTACAAGCATACAAATTCGACCGATCACCTGAAATGGACGGAATCCACCCTACCTTTCACGTTGCTACATACACAAGTGTTTGGCGAGAGAGGCAAATGTAACTTCACTGTCATAAATTAGAGTGGATCGTTGCGTTGAAGAACCGGAAGCAATATTGGAGCAAAAGTCATAAAAACTACGCCCCAAAAAAATCATTACGATCAAGGTTCGGTTAAAGCATCATCGGTAGGAAGTGGAGGAAGACTTGAAGAAACGCTACTTACGGCTTTTGATTATGTGTAAATTTAGGGGACGAACTCCTTAGTAGGAGGGGAGGATTGTAACACCCGTGAAAGATTTATATTCTCAATTCCTATTTATGATCTTGTAAGTGAAAATAAAAGTGGGTTACGTCACTTTGAAGTATTGAGTGTTAGTGAATGAAATGAGTCAAGTGGGAGTGAAGCAATAGCTAATGCGGCTTAACACGTGGCCAAACCCGTGGGACTCACTGTTAGCTTCCGGACTTGGGCATGGGTGACTTTCGTCGTGGGAAAAGTCGTGCAAAAGCATCTTAAGGGTTTAAAACCCGATTTACAACTAGAGGTTCCTATTTTCTCCCACTTCTTCTATCTTCATTAATCCCGGTTGGAGGTCATTCAATTTTGCATTTAAGGATCCTTTGAAAGTCATTAAACCAAAAGATTCAAGCTTGGATCAAGACTCGAGCCCCTCTTCTCATTTAGAGTTTCTTTATTTTTTTAGGTTTTGTCTAGAAATCCTCCAAGATGAGTTCATACTATGTTTTTAAAGATCTACACGTGTCAAACTATCTTAATCATTCATCATAAACGACCCTTCTATGGAATTCTCCAATAGTTTTGACAATTGGTTGATCCTGGGTTATCTTTTTTTTTGTGGGATTTTGGATAAAAGTTTGAATATTCGTTTTTATGAAGTGCTTTATAGACTAATGGAGACTAAAACACACATTGAAACTAAATCAAGTAAATATTTACCACAAATGAGATGCTTTTGAGCTCAAGTGGTCCCTTTGTCACATAATTTCACTTTTTGAGCCAATTACCTACTTTTATTGATTATTAGCTTAAACATTTGAGAAATCTTATGGATTCATGAATATTGTTATCTTGGTTTCACTTATTGGTTAAATTGACGCATTTTGCCCACCTTGTGTGGCTTACATTATTATTTGGAATCTATAATATAATATATGGTTGGATTATGAGCTCAAGGAATGCTTGTTTATTCAAGTATGTACATTGCATATTTTGGTGTCTTGTCGCATTGGATTCATATGCATAGTTCACATTGTATCAAAAGAGGAGTTTTATGTTATTTTCTGATGTCACTGGTTTGAAACAATAGAGGAGTTTGTGATGTTCCCACCTTGGAACATTGGCTTTAGGGAAGTGAGGAGTTTTGATGTCCTCGTCTTGTAAATGTGGGGACCATCTAAGTAAGGAGTTTTGATGTTCTTATCTTAGCCTTGAGAGGAGTAAACACCATGGCTTTTATATCTACGGTGATTTCTCGTTAACATCTCGATGTGACTTACTTTGTGTTCCGCCACTTGATAGAATCGGGTCTCCCCCGTTATCATAAGATAAAGTGTTTGCTATATTGATTTTCTAGAAGGAAAGATTAAAGGGGCTTAATGCCTTATTTGCAGTTTACTCCTTAATTCAAGGAAGTGCTTCTTTATAAATGCTTCATCTTCAATACGGTCTTACATTTTGGTATAAATTATTTTAATTCACTAGGCGTTAAGTGTAACACTTTTCTTACTAACATATGTAGTAGGTAATAGGAGTGTCAGGCCCAAAGACCGGTGAATAGAGGTTGGAATTTGATTTAGAGGCATAAATGGGGAAGACATTTTGGAGAGTTACCGTACTTTTGAAGATAACTAACGTTGGTTGTTGATGTAACCCGCAACTTACATCTAGTTATACTATACTTAGATAGAAGTCTATAGAACTCTGATATTTAACTTTTGTTATTCGTTATCTTGTAAACATTGATACATTTTGGGTAAATACTCTTATTTTGTGTAAAATGTCGGTTTCACCGAGCTTTAAATTTATTGTTATTTTTAAAATGTTAGGGGTACTATATAACACCCTAAAAACAGAAGACAATTTAAACCTGTAAATTCAAAACGACCTAAGGTTGCATCAAATATAATCACTGATCAAATGGGAAATAATAAGAGAAGTCACAAATTAAATGGATGGTAACTAACAACCTATTAATCTAAATCAATTTTTTATCTATATTACAAATCGGGTGTCGCTACAATTATCAAAAGAATAACATATCATTAGTACAACTTGCTTCCAAGAGATTGTAACCCAAAAATGCCTCTACCGGCACTTAACGCTCCACTCAAGCCTTAGGAGCCTCGCCGCTAGAAGTTCATGATATATATGTCACATAAGAAAAAGTGTTAGACTTAACGCCTATTGAGAACAAACAATTACTGAATAAAGCTACAAAATATTAAAACTGTTTTGAAAACATAGCTTTAACCAAGTCCATTTATATAATAAAATCACATCTACCCTTGGAAGGGCGTAAAACATCACAAGATAACGGAGGAGACCCAACTTGCCATTGACTGTGACGAAACATAATTTAGTCATGTTGCAATGTTATATGAGCATTATTTACGAATCAACAATCATTAAGATCAACCACTCCAGGTGTATAGTTTAATTACTTAACAAGCTCACATGCTCCACAACTATTGCTTATGGAGACATCAAGGTCAACCACACTGGGTCTATACCTTGAAATCTCCAAAATCCTAGTTAAGCTCACTCACTTATAAATTACATTATATTGGTTATTGGTCAATGCCCGACTCCAAGAGTCCACACTTTATTGCTTATAATGACCCAATGCCTATTTCAAGTTACAATTTGGGAGTACCATCTCAAGCATGCTAAATAGAACCGACTTCTATGCATATGGGTCTATTGCATTCTAATCACATATATATATATATATATATATATCCATCTATATTACAAACTCCACTCGATATATAAACATTTATTTACAAATAACCATCACGTGGGCAAAATTCCCATTTTTATCAACAAGATACCATAATATGAACATTATCGTTTTAGTTCCAACATTTATCAAAACTTTGAAATAGACATCTCTCATGTATTTAAAATCATTCTACATACTTGTTCTATCAATATATAAAATCCCTAAACTCCCAACTTTGACCTAGTTGATCCAAAATCAACAAAATGTGAAATACTAGTAATGGAAACTTAGGGGAAGTAAAATACATCATTTTAACATGTCTATGATTTTATAAAAGTATGAGATGAACTCACAATGCTAGGTTTTAGGCAAAAACCTAGAAATCAAGAAAACCCTTGTAATGGAGATGAACCCTTGGATCTTAAACTATAGACTTGAATCCTTAGATTGAATGATGATTAAACCCCTTAGATTGGTTGGAGAAGTGAGATAAATGCTCCTTAAATCAGAGCAAATGAGGAGGGGAAAAAAGTTTTTGGAGAAGAAATGAGTTAAGTGAGAAGAATGGAGGAAATAGCCTAAAATTGGCTTCTATAGCATTGACAGTCAACCACGCAACCTGACACACGACTTCAAGTCATGGTAAAGTCCCCGTGCACTCTCAAAGGTTCGCCAAATAGTGAGATACGCAACTTCCCACGATACTTGAGGTTGTGGAGTACCAAAATTCTCCCAGTCTTGCCCTTTTTAATGGATTTCACAACCCCTCCACATACTAACTTGTAAAACCCAAAAATTTCGAAGAATAAATAATTTATCTTCATTATTATTCTTTTCATTTTTTGAATTAAAACACACACACACACACACACGTATTTATACATATATATATGTATATATATATATATGTGTGTGTGTGTGTGTTAAATAAATAAAGAAATTAAAAGAAGTTTAAAAAAAATTCGGACTAAAGGTGAAAGAAAAAGTCAAGACATGAGTGAAAATTATAAATTCGTGATAGTTAAAGGGGTGTGTCAGGTGTTAACAGGTCCAAACCAGAAGGACCTGTTCTATAAATATGTCATTTTCTGATTCTGATTTTTGAAAGTGATGGAACGATGCTGACTTTGAGACTTCTTATTGGCTCGTTCAGTCAACCAATAAGCCAAAAATAAACCAGGAATAAGGCTGTAAACGAACCGAACGAATACGAACGAAGGCTTGTTCATGTTCGTTTGTTTAACTTAACCGAACAAACGAACGAACATGAACGGTAAACGAACGAAAATCATTGTGTTCGTGTTCGTTCGTTTAGAAATAAGGTGTGTTTTTGTTCGTTTATGTTCGTTCGTTAACAAGCTAAACGAACGAACATAAACGAACATGTCTAAACGAACAGGCCTAATGAACATAAACGAACAGGCCTAAACGAACATAAACGAACAGGCCTAAACGAACATAAATAAACGAACACCACTATTTTTCATTCAGTTAACTATTACACACCAATTGTCCATAGTTTAAACATACACAAAACAATAATCATTCATTAACCATCATTAATATACCAAAAAACAAATAAATCACCATCATCATTTGAACAAAAAAAAACAATCCTCTCATCATCATTTGTCAGTTGTCACCTCATGGAAGTTCAATATATATCATATCATCAGTTTTCTACAACAAACAAACAAAATAATTATTAGTTATTGTAAGAAAACAAGTATCATAATTGATAAGATTAAACAAATTACCTTGGTTTTTTTTTTGTGTAGTCCATAATGATGACGATACCAATCAGCTCCGCAAATGAGCATATCTACCGTCTTCGTCCCTAAAGAGGCGCGATGAGCATCGATAACTCTTCCACCAGCACTAAAAGCTGATTTTGAAGCAACAGTAGTTATTGGAATTGCCAAAACATCAGCAGCCATTTTAGACAAAATTTTGAACTTCAGATTTTTCTCCTTCCACCACTCCAAGGCATCAAAATATGCACCTGAATCACCAATGTACACGCCTTCTTCTAAATAAATGTCTAACTCTGACTTCACACTTGCAAAAGTGTCAACGCTTATGATATGTTGATCATATTTTGCCGTGCCACTATTGATACCAACTGTAGAACTTAACTTGTTATAACCACTCTTAACTCCAATTTCACTCTTGTCTGGTGCACTACTCATTTGAACAACATTAGTCGCTTTATGTTGTTCAACATACTCTTCAAACATCTTAGTAAGAGTATCTTGAACAATTTTCATTTTCTTAGGTGCCTCATCCGCTGAATAAATGGAACTAAAAGAGAACTCAACCAACTTCATCTTGTATCTAGGATCTAAAACAGCACCAATGGAAATCAACAAATTACAAGTACCCCAATATTTGTCAAATTTCTTTTTCATCTTGAGATCCATATCTCTCATATATTTACTCTCATCTAAAGACAAATCATCTAATACTTCTTTAATTCCATACAACTCACTAAGAAACAAATTAGAGGCAGGATATTCAGAGCCTATAAAATAAAAGAAGTAAATAAAATTCTATGAGAATTAGGTGATTAGCTTCGAAAAAATGACTTATAATGAAAACCATAAAAAAAATTTATAATGCCTGAAATTATTTTTGTAACCTCGTTGAAAAGCCCGAAGAATGAGCAAATAACTTCAACTTTGTCCCAAGCTTCCGAGGTCGGCATGGTCTTGTATGTTGATTTTCGATCGTCATAATTTACAAACACTTCTTTAAACTCCAAGGTCGTAGACAACATAGCATACGTAGCATTCCATCGGGTACTAACATCTAAGATCAAATGCTTCTTTGATAAGGTCATTTGCCTGGAAAGTTCGCTAAATATATGCAATCGACCCGGAGAGGCATTCACGTGTTTCACACTCTCACGAACATTGTGAATAATGTCTTTAATTTTCGATAAACCATCTTAAACCAACAAATTGAGAATGTGTGCACAACACCGCACATGAAATAACTTCCCCCCAACAACAAGCTTTTTCTGAAAATTCATAATTTCCATCAACTTTGTAGCCACCACATCATTAGTTGTAACATTGTCAACCGTCAAAGTAGCAACCTTTGTCTCAATATTCCACTCTTTTAAACACTTAAAGAGGGAATTATATATACATAGTCTCGAATAAGGTGGTGGTACATCAACAAAACTCAATATGCATTTGTTAAGTTTGAAATCGGAATCTACAAAATGACAAGTAACAACCATATAATGAATATTTTGCATCGACGTCCACATATTAGTTGTTATACTCACACGATTGACAGCGCTTAACATTTTCTTAATTCTTTTCTTGTCTATCTCATAACTAGCAACACAATCTTGCTTAGCCGATGCACGTGAAATCTTGTTAAACCCAGGGTTAGCTTCCTTCATAACCACATGTAAAACCCTTGTTTTTAATATATAAATAATATTATATGAGCATTTAAATATATTTTTTATAAATTTATTTGAAGTGTTAAAATATTTACGTAATAAACTAAATGAAATAATTATAGAAATCTTAAATAAATAAATAATGAAGAGAAAGACAAAAAAAGAAAAATAAAGTAAAAGTGTTTTCTTTTAATTATTGGACAAAAAATGTAAGATATTACGTCAGGAGGGGTCTRATGGTAAATGTCAGAAACTTGAGGGGGCCGAATGTCATCTTTTTCAAAGATGAGGGACCTGTTTTGCCAAAAGTACATAACTGTTTGAGAAAACGACCCATCAGCCTAAAACTCGCGATTTG